CGTGTGCGTGTGTGTGTGTGCGTGTGTATGCATGTTTTCCAGCTCTCGGCCACCCATCGCCAGCCGACGCGAGGCGACCGGTGGCGGGGCGATAAAACACTGCAAGCCCGAAGGCCTGACCCGAGACCACTGAAGGCAATGGGCCCGAATCGCATTGCAAACGGACAACCAGGGCCTGAGCCACATTGCATCTCAGGCAACCTGGCAGGGGCCGGGCCTGAACAGCCGCAGGGCCCGAGCAGCCGCGCCTTTTACTAGGGCCTGGGCACCGTGGCCACGGCCCGCTCCCCCGGCCCAGGGCCGTCGGACTGCGCGGGGGCAGAGGGGCGACGCGGGGGGGCCGCGCGCCACCCGAGGGGGGGAGGGCCGACAAGGGGACACGGCCAAACAGCGACGCGCGCCCGCAGCCCTGTGGCCTTAGAAAAGGGGCGCCGAAGCCCCGAGGACCCGAGCACCACCGGGAGGGCCGAGACCCGGAACCGGAGGCCATGCCAAGCCCGCCCGCACGGAGGGCGCGGCAGTCCCAGCGCCGCGGGGCACGTCGCGGCACGGCCAACCCCCCTTTGGGCCCCCAGGCCACCCACCCACCCGAACCGCCCACGCGGCTGGGGGTTGCCCTCTCTTGGGCGCGGTGGTATTTTTCCCGGCGGCATTCCCGCGCTGGCCAACCGCCGACGCCCCCGACCGAGGGGGCCCAGAGCTCCACAAAGGGCGTGTGTGTGTGTGTGTCTGTTGGGTGTGTGCGCGCGTGCGTGCGTGAGCACGTGCGCGTGCGTGTGCGTGTGCGTGTGCGTGTGCGTATGCGTGTGCGTGTGTGTGTGTGTGTGTGTGTGTCAGTGCTTGTGTCTGTGTGTGCGTGTGTGTGTGTGTTCGTGTATGTGCGCGCGCGTGCATGCGTGCGCGGGCGCGTGGGCGCGCGCCCCAGACGGCCACTATGGCCTGGGGCTGTCAAGGCAAGGGGAGGCAAGAGAGCGCCACGCGCGGCCCCCAGAGCACACAAAGGTCAGACAGCGACCGAAAGAGCAGGGGAATTCCGAGGGCCCCCCCTGCGCAGCGGCCCCGACCGCACCCCAGGGCGGCCCTCGAGGTCGGGCGGGGCCTGGCGACGAGGTCGTCTCGCTTCTTGGCCCTGGCCTTTTCGGCCGGGCTGGCGCACTGCGAGGGAGGGGGCAGCGTGCGCCGCGCCCCCTGCGCGCCACAAACGTGTGCCTCTGGAAGATCTCGCGCCCCTGCCCATGCAATACCTCGCCCGCAGGCTCGCCTTGGCTCGCGCGACCCCCCCCCCTGCCCCCCACCCTCGCGCGCCTCGCGTCGCACCTGCCCCCGGCGATAGCGGCAGCAGCGGGCGCTAGGGCGCCCTGGCATCGCATCTGCGGGGCCTCGGCGACAGCTGGCGCCGCGGGGGCCAGGGCCGCGGCGGGCGCCGCCAGCGGTGGGGCGTCGGCGCCGCGCGCGGCGGGGGTCGGGCTCGCTCTCGCATCGCACGATCCCCCCACCTCCCTCCGCCTCGCGAGTCGGCCCCCCCATCGCTCGCTCTCGCCTCGCCCTGCGCCCCCCGCTCCTCCGGGGGGGCCCCAGCCACCCCCCGGGGCCGGGGCCGGCGGGAGTGGGCGAGCTGAGCGGGGGCCCGCGGACAGCGGCCAGGAGGCGGGCAGCGAGAGTAGCGCAACGCTCTTCATCGCTCGACGCCGCTGAAGCCCCCGCAGCTTGCGTCGATCTCGCAGCTCGCGTCGGCGCTGAGGCCCCCGCAGCTTGCGCCCGCGGCGGGGCCCCCGCAGCTCGCGTCGACAAAAGGGTCCCCGCAGTTCGCGTCGATGCTGAGCTCCCCGCGGCTCTTAGTTCTCCACGCGGGGGCCTGCTGCCATCTTCGCGCGCGCCTTCGCTTCGCCACCTTGCGAAGCCTCGGCATCTCCGCGACTCGCCGTCGCAGCGCATGCTGTCGCGGCCGCGATGCCCATTGCCAGCGCGGGAGTTGCAGGCGGGCTCGCAGGGCTCGGGACATCGCGAGCGGGGCCGAGGCCTGCCGATACAAGCAACCGCCCTCGCACGAGAGGTTACCGCCAGCCGACAGGGGCGGCGCAGGAGGCCGCGAATCTCCCCCTCAGCGATGGCCACTCGGTTACAGAGCCGACAACGCAAACCACGGCGATCAGGCACCAAGTCGCGAGACAAAATGGACAGGACAGATGGCCCAAGCGGGGGCCCGGGGGCTCGGGGGGGCTCAGGGCCCTCCTCCGAAGGCGACCGCCTGTCCGAGCTGAGCACCCGCTTGCCTGCCCAGGCAACAGATTTAGCTCGGCTGGCAGCTTCAGCAAGTCGCAAGCCCAACCCTTTACCCAAGCGAAACAAGGTAGGGAGCGGGCCCGTCGCTCAACCGTGGCCCGCATGGCTCGCCACATCTCGGCGCAGAGAGCAGCGGCCTTCGCTTCGCTCTCACGCCATCGCTGACCCACTTGCACACATGAAAGGCGATCGCTAACATATTTAGGTATCGCAGGAGAGGCGCCGACGGCTCGGAGGGAAAAAAAACGGGCTGCTACATGGACCGACTGGGCCCCTGGGAGGCTTCCAATCTGGCCTTGGATGGGCGGCCTTCAGAATCATGCCGCACCACCGCCCAGGCGCGCGTGGCCACCGCAGAGGGGGCCCATACTGTGGCCAGCCTCTTCCGCGTAGACCGTGCCCGCCCAAGGGGCCCCATGGCCCCCCCACTCAAACCGCTGCCCGGGTCTCCCCCCAGGCATCCCCAGAGCTGGCGGGGGCAGGGGCAGCGCGCAAGCGCGCTGGATCGGATCAAAAAAGGCGGGGTCAGCGGACTCGAGGACCTCCTTACGCGCCCGCACGCGCGTCTTAACCCCACGCTGGCGCACGCACGCGAAGGCTCCTCCATTGGATCCTGCTTCAGATCCTCCATCAGGGCAGAGCAAGCTAGCCATCGGTGTCCAAGCGTTCCAACATGATCCTGACAATCGAAGCAGGGGGAACGAGCGACGATCCCAAGGCGATTTTTCCTCGGGGCGACATCGCGCCTGTCCACCGGCACTGATGGGCCCCCAGTTATGCTGCATCTCGCACAGCCACAGGACCTTGTGCGCAGGCGCGCAGGGCTCGGCGCCGCAGGACCTCTCCATCGCATTCAGGAAAATGAAACTGAGTTCGCCGCATCCGCCACCACCGCACGCCAGCCCCCAGCAAATCCCCGAAGTCGCGCGGCGCCACGGCGAGGAGCGAGAAGTACGCGCTCTCGTCTGCGATGACCTCGTGCGCCGATCTCATGGACCAGACCTCCGGGCACGGATGGTCGGTGCCTCCGCGCCTGTGCAATAGCTGCTGTCACTCGCCGCAGGCCCTGCCAGCGCGCGACTCGTCTCGGCGTCAAAAGCCAGCGTCGCAATCTCAACGCACATCTGCGCCAGCTTTGCCGGCTGCCGCCGACCGTCGGCGCTTGACTTCCTGAGGGGGCCCGCGGCACGCTGGGCCTCGCTCTCCGCGATCTTGGCCTTCTTCTCGTCCAAAGCCGAACTCCAACGGAAAGGCTGCTCGAAAGTTTTTTTGGTGCGTGAGCTGCCAAGCGTCTCCCCCTTGCAAGTCGCAGGGTCACGATTATTGGGCTCCGGCTTGCACTTGAAGGCCACCGACTTGGGGACCGAGCGCGAGTGACAGCCCAGCTCATCTGGGAAGTTGACGAAAGGCTTCCCACCACGCCCTCTGCACCACTTGCAGCACCATTTCGCGCGTTGTTCGTCTCGACGGCCCACGGGCGACATTGCTCCTCAACCACAGGACTCAGAAGTTGTACCCACGAGAAACAGAACAGCGGCCAGGCAGGCCACTGGAAATATTATCTTGCTGAAGACGCTTGGCCTCAAAGCGCGAAGCCCCTCGCGACGCCCGAGAACGGACTCGCAATCGTCGGTCGGCCCACTGCCTTGACCCAAAATTGCTACGGTTTTGTCTGTGTGTGTCTGTGTGTGTCTATGTGATTGTGTGTTTGTTTGTTTGTGTGCTTGTGTGTGTGTTTGTGTGGTTGTGTGTTTGTGTGTTTGTTTGTTTGTTTGTGTGTTTGTGTGTTTGTGTGTTTGTTTGTCGTGTGTCTGTGTGTCTGTGTGTTTGTGTGTTTGTATGTGTGTGGCTGTGTGTCTATGTCTGTGTTTGTGTGTCTGTGTGTCTGTGTGCCTGTGTGTTGTGTGCCTGTGTGTCTGTGTCTGTGTGTCTGTGTGCCTGCGTGCCTGTGTGTCTCTGTGTCTGTGTGTCCATGTGTCTGTGTATCTGTGTGTCTGTGTGTCTGTGAGTGTGTGTGTGTGTCTGTGTGTCTGTGTGCTTGTGTGTCTGTGTTTCTGTGTGTCTGTGTGTCTGTGTGTCTGTGTGTCTGTGCGTGTGTGTGTGTGTGGGCGTGCGTGCAAGAGTGCGTGCGTGCGTGCGTGCGTGCGTGTGTTTGTGTGCGTGTGCGTGTGCGTATGTGTGTGCGTGTGCGTGTGCGTGTGCATGTACGTTTGCGTGTGCGTGTGTCTGTGCGTGTGCGTGTGGGTGTGGGCGTGTGTGAGTGTGGGTGTGGGTGTGGGTGTTGGTGTGGGTGTGGGTGTGGGTGCGTGTGCGTGTACGTGTGCGTGTGCGTGTGCGTGTGTCTGTGCGCGTGCGTGTGCGTGTGCGTGTGCGTGTGCGTGTGTGTGTGTGTGCGTGTGCGTGTGCATGTGCGTGTGCGTGTGCGTGTCCGTGTGCGTGTGCATGCGCGTGCGCGTGCGCGTGCGCATTTGCGTGCGCGTGCGCGTGCGCGTGCGCGTGTGCGTGCGCGTGCGCGTGCGCGTGCGTGTGATTGCGTGTATGTGTGAATGTGTGTATGTGTGTGCGTGCGTGCGTGCGTGCGTGTGTGTATGTGTATGTGTGTACGTGCGTGTTCCGGGCTGGTAAACCCCGTCTGTGCGGACCCCATCTGGGAAGCGTGAGCTATTGCGGGCGTTGAACCACCGACAAAAGGAAAGCGTGGGGCCCGGAAGTCCGGCGCACGCGCCCTCGGATGGCGCCGCGCCACCACCGCCGCCTCCGCCTGGGCGGGCGAGCGGCGGAGGGGGGGACAGCCATGCCTCCTCGATCCAGGTTTCCCTCGGCGGAAGGAGGGGGATGCGGAGGAGGAGAGGGGGGAAGAATGGAACTGGGTGGGCGGGGAGGAAGGAGGACGATAGGAGGAGGAGGAGGAGGAGGAGGAGGAGGAGGAGGGGGAAGAAGAGGATGGCAGCGCCGAACGGATCCACTGCCACCGGTCCTGAGCCCTGAGGAGGCGACGGAGGGGAAACGCCACGTGGTCGTGACGCGGAAAAGAGGGGCTCTTACCAGGGTGGGCGGGCAGAGAGGAGGAATAGAGGAGAAGGAGGAGGAGGAGGAGGAAGCAAACCACGCGGTCATGACGGTGGGCAGAAAGAAATCGAACCAAGGTGGGCGGGTAGAGGGAGGAGGGAGGAGGGAGGAGGAGGAGGAGGAGGAGGAGGAGGAGGAGGAGGAGGAGGAGGAGGAGGAGAAGGAGGATTCAGCTAGATCCTGCTGGCCTGACCTCCCAAGCTACAGGTCAGGCACAATGGCGGCGAAGAAGACCACCCCTACCCCCAGGCCTGTTCTGGGCCATGAGGTCTGGCCATCAGAAGTGTAGCTAGCGAAGCGCAGTCCAGCTGCCGTTCGTCTCGCCTGGCGAATAAGGCCCAACCGTGGCGACGAGGGGCGACGAGGAGCGACCGAGGGGGGGGGATATGCAATCCCAAGTTGTTGGCCCATCTGTCGAACCACGTCCTTGGGCAAAATCGCCATTTGTAGCGGTCTGCTGAGCACTCAGCCGTCGGCTGCCTTTCGGGGGAAAAAACTTCCCATCTCGCACGAGCTGACCGCGCTGCGTGGTCGCTGGTGTCGTTTGCACGTGCACTTCCTTCAGCACGTAGTGCCAACCCGCTGCCACTGTTTGCTGTTTGCTCTTCTCGCATTACCAGTTCCCGCTGCCACTGCCTGCGCACACGAGCTGCGCAGAGCAGTGTAACTGATGGCGTTCGCTCCTGCACGTGCCACCTTCTCGCACTGCCAACGCCTACCGCGAAAAAACCGCACCCGCTGCCATGTGGCGCACGGGTCGACCACAGCGTTGTAGCTGATGGTTGCCTGCCTCCTTGCACGAAATAGCCCCTAACTGATGAGGTGTTCTTGCTGCGCTGGCGGGAACCGATAATCGATGTTGCCATTGCCTCCCTTCTCGCACCAACAAACACATCTGCCAGCCTGCCTTCTCGCACTGCCAGTCCCTGCCGCCAATGCTCTCTCGCACAAGCTGGCCCCGGCAGCCTTGTAGCTGATGAAAGGTGCCTGTCTCGCCATTTGGCACAGACGTACGCTGCTGCCACTGCCGTCCTTCTCGCACCGACCGAACTCTGCTGCCACTGCCTGCCTCTCGCACAATGAGACCTCCGCTGCCATGTAGCTGAAGGTGTTGCTCCCACGTGGCTGTTTGGCACCGACAGCCGCTGCTGCCACCGCCTGCGCTGCGCCAGCGGATTTTGCTGCCAATGCGTGCCCTCTCGAACGAGCTGACCCCCGCCGAGGTGCAGCTGAAGATGTTGCTCCTGCGGGGCCATTTGGTACCGACAACCGCTGCTTGCACTGCCTGCCTCTTTGCACCGACAGACCATGCGGAGGTTCTTTTTTGAGTAGGCGGGGAGGTGAGAGGACCAGGAGGAGGAGGAGGAAAAGGAGGAGAAGGAGGATGAAGAGGAAAAGAGAAGAAAGGAGGAGGAGGAAAAGGAGGAGGACAGGCTGCCGCCTCGAGTTGGTCTAACGTCGAAAAAAAGGAGGAACAGCAGAAGGAAAAGGAGGACAGCCCCGCGGTCATGACGGGAGGGGCAGAGGGAAATCCTACCAACGGCAGCGTTGCCGCGGGCGGCCGCTCGCAGCCGAGCACGACTCGTGGTGGTCTCGCCAAGTCTTCCTGGGCCGGGGCCTTCCTTCGGGCTTCCCGAAGGGGCGGGCTCCGGAGCCAATGGCGATTCCGCACCCAAAGTGTAGGTCGGGCATGTCCTCGTACAGGCGGATTCTGGGGAGCAAAATTAAATATGGTCAATGAAGGCTCAAACACTGACGACAAACAATACAAGACAAATCGCCCCCTGACTATTTTTCCACAAGCGGCCAAGCATGGGCCGAAGGGGAAGGATGCAAGGGTAACCTTGGAAAATTGCTCATCTTTAATATGCGGGAATGTACCTGTATATATATATATATATGTATGTACATATATATATGTATATATATATACATACATACATACATACATACATACATACATACATACATACATACACAAACGCTCGAGTCTCCCCTACCCTAGCCTTGAGTCGGGCGTGTCCCCCTACAGGAGGATTTTGGACGAAAATTGAAGAACGTCAAAACATACTCCAAGCATGTTCTAAAATACCCCCCCCCAAAAAAAAAACAACACAAAAACCAAAAAAAGACTATTTGTTTACTGCTTTGGAATACTCCTCCTGTAGAGGGACACGCCCGACTCAACCCAAAGTGTTCAATGCCAGCTGGTCCTTTGAGCCGCCCCCCCCCCAGAGAATCTTGGTGCCATCTTGGACTGATTTGGGCTCTCGGGGACGTCTTCGGATCCTCACGGGAGCCTTCAAAGACGACCGAGGACCGCCAAAAGGGCCCCAACGCGGCCGCAACAACAGTCCCAGAGGCAGCCCCATCCCAGAACAGCCTCCTCGGGAGAGCTCCGCAAAACCATCCATCGCGCCCAAGACCGCTCCAGTACCCCCAACAGGCCCACAAGCCCCCCCAGAAGCCGAGGAAGCAAGGCGGAAGATTTCCATCTGGCAATTCCGTCAGAACCAAAAGCAGCATACGTAGGGGGTCCACGAGAAACAAAATCAGCGGCCCCCAGCAACCCTGGCGCCCTGCGACCGCGATGGAAACACACCTACGTAAACCGCGCGCACGCGGTACACGGGGGGCCAGGAAGCCCCGCCAGACCGGGATAGCCCCATCGACCTGTCCACAAAAAACTCAAAAACCGCATCGGCGCATGGATTCGTTGTATCTAAGGAGACGGAAATCCATGCACCGACGTGGCCGACCAATAGAGGAAAACCCCTGCAAAACACCCGATGTTAATTACACATAGTTGCGTGTGGGTGCGCTACACTGGCCCTTGGAAATAACGCTTCGCATGTTTCCTGAGGAAGGCGAATGCAGCGCCAGTGGCGCCCTGGGGGGCGCGCGAGTACTGATGTTCTACGCGCCCTTTCGCAATGAGGTTGGTTCCTTCGGGGCCCGACCAACGTTTGAAAACCATGCGAATCTTGATGCATAGATCTATTCCCCAGAAAAAATCACGAGCGGCGAACATACCAATATCCACGCCATCGCTGTCTGGGCTCCGGGGCGCCATCCCGCGGATTCACGATCGCGCTTCGACGTTCCGCGGGGTCGCGGCCCAGGGAGCCTGGCCGCGACGCCGCGGGCACGGGCACATCTCTCGCCCACGAGAAGTGGCCCGCAGAGAGGCCTCCAGCTCGGCTCCCGGGCAGCGGCCCAACAGCAACCCGAAGCCCTGGCCATGCCGCTGCTTCTGGATGGGCTGTTGGGGAAACGCTGGTGGATGCCATGACAATGGACACCCAAACAGTCTTATTATTGGTTTGACAATGTGTTTGACATGTTTAAACCATGTGTTGGACATGTTTAAGGCATGCTTAGAACATGTTCTAGACATCTGGAATGTATTTGGGTACATGCTTCCTCTCCATTAATCGTCGTCCACAAAGACTGTTTTTTGGGGGGTCCGCGGGCGCGCGAAGACGAGTCGAACGCCGAGCGTGCGAGGGCGGGCGGCGCTCCGTAGCAAAGAGAAAAAGAATGAAGCGAGCGGCGGCAAGCGGAAGGGAAGCACAGCAGCACCACACAGCCTCAGCAGCTACCGAATAGCGTGACGAAGACGAAAAGCACGAAGGCCCGGGCCGCTGACATGCCGAACATGAGGAACGTGAAGCGCCCCGAGAGCACGGGCGAAAAGACGCCAAAATGGCGCGACCAAGCCAGGACGCCAAAATGGCACGACAAAGATACGCGAAGCGCCAAGCATAGGCTCCCGGGCAACGGCCCAACAGCCACCCAAGGCCCTGGCAGGCACCCCGCGCCACGTCATCGCAGCGGAGAGGTCCCCAGACAGCCCCAGCGAGGGAGAGCCTGGCGCAACGGGACCAGTGAGCATCGGATGGGGAAAGCGGATCGGATCGCGACGTGAGTCAGACCGAGCTGCATCGGCACGGAGACGAAATCGAGCCGGATCGGCTGCGCCAGGATGCACAACTGCGCCTTGCAAGCACCAGGACGCATCGGATCGCTGGCGAGTCGGAATAGAATCGGATCGAGCCCGGCGAACTCGAGATCGAACCGGATCGACCGAGTGGGAATAAACTCTGGCTCGATGGGATCACCCTGTACGCAAAACTTGTGAGTTGCTTGGCAAGGAAGCGGCGTCAACCGCAGGCCGCTGCATAGACTACTGGCCGCCCACCTCTGCCCGAAAACCCCTTGTATCTTGGTGACGGTGTCATCTCATAGGCTGGCGATCCGCTCGTTCGTCCCCGCCTCCCCCCTCCTCCTCCTGCCGATGCTGGGGTTGCTGTTGCTCGCCCTCCTTCTCCTCATCATCATCCTCTTCCTCCGCCTCATCCTTCTCTTCCTCCTCCTCTTCCTCCTCCTCCTCCTCCGCCTCCTCCTCTTCCGCCTCATCCTCCTCCTCCTCTTCCTTCTCCGCCTCCTCCTCTTCTCAAGCTGTTTGAGCTGGAGCAGCTGGCGCCCAGGCAACCCCCGTGTCCAGGGTGCTCTTGCTCAGGCCTGCCCTCTGTGCCCCTTGGAGTGCTCGAGGGGCCCGTGCTGTACACCTCGCTCGTTCCGTTTCTGACTTGGTGGCAAGAGGTGACTACCTACCAGATCACCCCAACCCAACCCGAAGACACGAATTTCGGGTTGCGGGGGGTACGAGATTCTTTTCCCCGACCACAC